GAGTTATTTGTAGTGAGGTGGATGGACCTAGAGTCTGTCATACAGAGTGAAGTAAGTCAGAAAGAGAAAAACAAATACCATATGCTCACACATATATATGGAATCTAAAAAAAAAAAAAAGGTCATGAAGAACCTAGGGGCAAGATGGGAATAAAGACACCGACCTACTAGAGAATGGATTTGAGGACACGGGGAGCGGGAAGGGTAAGCTGGGACGAAGTGAGAGAGTGACATGGACACATATACACTATCAAACGTAAAATAGATAGCTAGTAGAAGCAGCTGCATAGTACAGGGAGATCAGCTCGGTTCTTTGTGACCACCTAGAGGGGTGGGATAGGGAGGGTGGGAGGGAGGGAGATGCAAGAGGGAAGAGATATGGGGATATATGTATATGTATACTGATTCACTTTGTTATAAAGCAGAAACTAACACACCATTGTAAAGCAGTTATACTCCAATAAAGATGTTTAAAAAAATAAAATAAATTTATTTTATGTATTTATTTATTTTTGGCTGCATTGGGTCTTTGTTGCTGGGTGCGGTCTTTCTCTAGTTGCGCGAGCGGGGGCTACCCTTCATTGCGGTGCGCTGGCTTCTCATTGTGGTGGCTTCTATTGTTGCGGAGCACGGGCTCTAGGTGTGCAGGCTTCAGTAGTTGTGGCATGCAGGCTTCAGAAGTTGTGGCACACGGGCTCAGTAGTTGTGGCTCGTGGGCTCTAGAGCGCAGGCTCAGTAGTTGTGGTGCATGGGCTTAGTTGCTCCGTGGCATGTGGGATCTTCCCAGACCAGAGAGCGAAACTGTGTCCACCGCATTGGCAGGCGGATTCTCAACCACTGCACCACCAGGGAAGTCCCTGTTATAGGCTTTAGTGTAATGAGGTTAGGTGAAAAAAATGAACAATTCTAAAATTGCAATAAATCCTCAGTGAAGAATCTTGGTTGTTTAGTTGGGAGTTCTAAGTTGTTGTCTTTTTTAAATTTTTATTGGAGTATAGTTGATTTACAATGTTGTGTTAGTTTCGGGTGTACAGCAAAGTGAATCATATATATATATATTCACTCTTTCTTTAGATTCTTTTCCCATATAGGCCATTACAGAGTCTAAGTCTTTTTTTTAACCCCATTTTGAAAGCCCTTGGTATCAAATATCATCTGGATAATCAGTCATTAAGGATATATTCTAAGACTTCACTGCTAAAAATATTCATGATCGTGATTCATATTTGAAACTCAAGTCACTGAGACACTAAATGTAAAACCAAATGAAAGCTATAATATTCATATCTTAAGGATGCTGCATTTTGCAGTAATATGTATTTCTAGGCTAAGACTGTTTCCCTCAAGAAAAGTATGAATAGAATTTTTTTTTTTTTTTTTTTTTGCGGTACGCGGGCCTCTCACCGTTGTGGCCTCTCCCGTTGTGGAGCACAGGCTCCAGACGTGCAGGCCCAGCGGCCATGGCTCACGGGCCCAGCCGCTCCGCGGCATGCGGGATCCTCCCGGACCGGGGCATGAACCCGTGTCCCCTGCATCGGCAGGCGGACCCCCAACCACTGCGCCACCAGGGAAGCCCATGAATAGAATTTAAAGGATAAACTTCTAACCAGCTGGAAAAATTTACTTTTAACATTTCATTTATTTCAAAATTGATTTTATTGCAGCCAAAACAATGGAATTAACTGTACACAATAAACTATTATATATATACATATATATATACATTTTAAATTTTAGGGAATATAGTTTACTTTGGCAGAGAGTGTTAAACAAAATTAATGCTGCATACGTTAGTAACATAACTGCATATCCTTAATTTGGTAGACGTGTGACATTTTCTTGCTTTCCTGTGTTGTGCTAAATCACCACAACCTAAACTGCTTTATAAAAGGTATATGCTGAAATTTAATTTTACTGTTTTTGCTTACTCTCTGATTACAAACAAAACTTTTCATAAGGCTCTTCTAATTCTGGGTCCATCTCATCATCAGTATCATCCAAGTATGGATCAACAGCCCCCGATAAATTTGTTCACAGATATAGAGAACAAACTAGTGGTTACCAGTGGGAAGAGAGAGGGTGGGAGAGGCAAGATAGGGGTAGGGGATTAAGAGGTACAAACAATTATGTATAAAATAAATAAGCTACAAGGATATATTGTACAACACAGGGAATATAGCCAATGTTTTACAATAACTATAAATGTACTATAACCTTTAAAAATTGTGACTCACTATGTTGTAAACCTGTAACTTATGTAATATTATACAATAAAAGAGGTTAAAAAGTAAAAGAAAAGAAAAAGAAGTCAGGGTAAGGATAAAGTGCCAATTTTTTTAATTAACATAAAACCTGAAACAGTAAAACTAGAAGAAAACATATGGGAAAAGTTTCTTGACATTGGTCATGGCAATGATTTTTTGGTCATGATGCCAAAAGCACAGACAACGAAAGTAAAAGTAGACAAATAAGACTGCATCAAACTAAAAAGCTTTCTGCACAGCAAAGGAAACAATTGCCAGAGTGAAATGGCAAGCTATGGAATGGGAGAAAATATTTGCAAACCATATATCTGATAAGAGGTTAATAACCAAAATACACAAGGAACTTGAACAACTCAATAGCAAAACACAAAACAAAACACGACAAGAAAGCACAAAATAACGCAATTGAAAAATGGGCAAAGGTGGGGGTGGAGGGATAGATTGGGAGTTTGGGATTGACATGTATATATTGCTATATTTAAAACAGATAACCAGGGGACTTCCCTGGTGGTCCAGTGGGTAAGACTCCACGCTCACAATGCAGGGGGCCCAGGTTCGATCCCTGGTCAGGGAACTAGATCCCACATGCATGCCGCAACTAAGAAGTCCACCAGCCGCAACTAAGACCCGGCGCAGCCAAAATAAATAAATAACTAAATATATTTTTTAAAAAAGATAACCGGGACTTCCCTGGCGGTCCAATGGTTAAGACTTTGCCTTCCGATGCAAGGGGTGCAGGTTTGATCCCTGGTCAGGGAGCTAAGATCCCACATGCTTTGCGGCCAAAAACCAAAACACAAAACAGAAGCCGGGACTTCCCTGGTGGCGCAGTGGTTGAGAGTCCGCCTGCCAATGCAGGGGACATGGGTTCAAGCTCTGGTCCGGAAGGATCCCACATGCCGTGGAGCAGCTAGGCCTGTGTGCCACAACTACTGAGCCCATGTGCCACAACTACTGAAGCTCGCACACCTAGAGCCCTTGCTCTGCAACAAAGAGAGGCCACTGCAGTGAGAGGCCTGTGCAGTGCAACAAAGAGTGGCCTCCGTTCACCACAACTAGAGAAGGCCCACATGCAGCAATGAAGACCCAATGCAGCCAAAAATAAATATTTTTTTCAAAAAGAAGCAATATTTAACAAATTCAATAAAGACTTTAAAAATGGTCCACATCAAAAAAAATTTTTTAATAAAATAAAATAGATAACCAACAAGGACCTACTGTATAGCCCAACAAGGTCCTACTGTATAGTGGCAGGGAACTCTGCTCAGTATTCTGTAATAACTTAAATGGGAAAAGAATTTGAAAAAGAATAGATACATGTATATGTATAACTGAATCACTTTGCTGTACACCTGAAACTAACACAACACTGTTAACTAACTATACTTCAGTATAAAATAGCAATTTAAAACAAATTTTTTAAATGGGCAAAGGTACATCAACTATACTTCAATAAAAGTTAATTAATTAATTTTAAAATGGGCAAAGGATCTGAATAGATATTTCTCAAAAGAAGACATACAAATGGCCAACAGGTATATGAAAAGGTGCTCACCATCACTAATCATCAGGGAAATGCAAATCAAAACCACAATGAGATATCACCTCACACCTGTTAGAATGGCTACTATCAAGAACACAAGAGGTAACAAGTATTGGTGAGGATATGGAGAAAAGGGAATCCATGTACACTGTTGGTGGGAATGTAAATTGATACAATCATTATGGAAAACAGTATGAAGGTTTCTCAAGAAAATTAAAAATAGAACTACCCTATGATCCAGCAGTCTCCCTTCTGGCTATATAACCAAAGGAAATGAAATTGAACCCAGAGGACATTATGCTAAGTGAAATAAGCCAGACACAGAAAGACAAACACTGTGTGATCTCACTTACATGTGTAATCTAAAAGAGTTCAAAGTCATAGAAGAATAGAGTAGCATGGTGGTTGCCAGGGGTTGGGGTTTGGGGAAAATGGGGCAATGTTGGTCAAAGGGCACAAAGATTCAATTAGGCAAGATGAATAAGTTCTGGAGATCTAATATACAGCACGATGACTACAGTTAACACTTCTGGACTGATACTTGAAATGTGCTAAGAGGGTAGATCTTAAGTGTTCTTACCACAAAAAGGGGGAGAGGGGCAACTATGTGAGGTGCTAGATATGTTAATTAGCTTGATTGTGGCTATCATTTCACAATGTAAATATATATCAAAATAGCAAGTTGTACACATTGAATATAATTTTTGTCAATTATACAATAAAACTGGAAAAAATAAAGGAAAATAAAATAGACACAGAAATAGAGGAGAGGGAAGAAGAAAATGATACACAGCACCACGTAGGGACATTTAAAAGAACAACATTTATTATAATAATAGGAACAATACCTAACCATTATAGAGAGAGCTTAGGAAGGCTTTTTTCTCCTCTCCTACTTTAGCTTTCATTCGCCACCCTTCCCAACTCCCAACAAAGAATTTTCACTTACATATCCTGTTATCATCTTAAACCAAAAATGTCTGTTCACCATTCAAGAAGCAATCGTTGAGCGCCAACTTAGTGTCAGGCACTGCGAATTCTCTGATGAATCAAACAGGGCTTCTTTCTTCCATGAGTTCAGACTAGTAGGGAATAAAAACATAAAGACAAGTAAATTCCAGTAGGTACGCTACCGAATACAAATTCGTGTGCCCCATGCACAGTGAGGCCAAACACTACTGAAAGTCAGAATTTGGAGCAGAGAAAGGTTTATTGCAGGGCCATGCAAGGAGATATGATTGGTTCATGCCCAAAAACCCCCCCAAACTCCCTGAAGCGTTTCAGCAAAGCACTTTTTTTAAAAGCCAGGTGAAGGAGGGGGGTGTCACAGGGTATGTGATCAGCTGGCGCACAATTCTCTGATTGGTTGACGGTGAGGTAACAGGGCGCTGTCTCAGGGGTTAACATTATCAATCCTCAGGCTCCAGTAGGCCTGGGGGCTATGCGGTCAGGGTCATCAAGTAGTTAACATCTTCCATTCTGTGGGGGGGCTTTCAAATCAGTAAAACAACTCAGGAGCTGTGCATCAGATACTGTTATCTATGTACTTCAGAGAGGAGCTAAAGCAGCGGACATGGGGGAAGGCCTCCTGCTCCGTTACAGGTATTAGGTGCTTGGCCACGTCTGTTCCAAGTCGGGAGATGGAAGGGAGAGTGGGAGACCAGGGCACCTTGTGAAAGAACCTGAGGAAGAATGAGAATGTTGAGGGAGTAGGATTTATAAGAGGTGGTTGCGGATGGATTGAATTAAAGGATGAAGATGCGCACAAGGAAGGTAGAAAATGCTTAACTGGGACCGTTCAGAAGCGGGATGAGAGATGAAGCGAACTCTGAAGGCAGGTGGGCTCCTCAGAGCGAAGGTGCGGCCGCATCACTCACCTCCTCCCGGTCTTCCTGTTCCTCAGGAGACTCTCCGAGTCTAAGCTGAACAGGAGACCGTGTCCTTTCTCAGCCCCGTATTTGAAATAACTGAAGGGAAGGGCGATGGGACACAGGACATATTTCACGGAGGCCATTTCAACAATACAGTGAATTCATCTTGTGTCTGGGGTATGTGTGTATATGTATATACGTATACACACATATACACACTACATATATATTATATAATATGGGTGTGTACTGTGTCATATATCTCTATGTATATATGTGTGTATAATACAGGAATGGCTCAAATCAAAGTACATATTTTTTAAATCTCCCCTGAATTAAAAAATATAAATGGAATGGGGAGAAAAGTACAAAGTAATGAAAATATTTCCTACGGAAATGACAATATGTTTGTATTACAGTTGCAATATTTAGCACAAAGAATACAGGAGGCTGAGTTACGTTTTAATTCTGATAAACAACAAATATATTTCTGGATAAGAATGTCCCATGCAATATTCGAGACATACTTATATTAAAACATTGTTGTTTATTTGAAATTCAAATATAAGTCAGGGTCCTGCATTTTATCTGCCAATGCAAGTTTATTTCCTATTCTTCAAAATCAACAAGATTAAAATGTTGATGCAGTTTTAAATTTTCAAATTTCTATACATTTGTTCTTTTATGTAATACTTCATTTTAGTCATAAACTGATAATTGGCATTATGAAAATACAAGGACTTCATAAAAGTCCAAAGTAAAAAGAACAAATCTACTCACATCTGATGAAGATGAAATAATCAGGGCTGATGATATTGATGTACCTTCCCACCGACATCCCTATGCACACAAGGATGAAGAAGAGAGGGTGAATGGGGGCGTGTGTGCAGCAGGAGAATCTACTAAGACTGGAATCATACCACATACACTTAAAATATAGAGTATTATGTTTAAAGTTTACTTCATTTAACAGAAGGAAAAGAAACAAAGGAGATTGAAAAAAACTGCTGAACTTCAGGAAAATGTTCTTGACCACATGAGGGAAAAAAGGGGATTCATAAAATCCCCTTTTTCTTCTCCAGGGTACTCTGACCTTCCCAGCCTGTTACCTTGTCCCTGAGGCATAATGTTTCTTAATACTCTCCCAAGGGGCCTCCCTGGTGGTGCAGTGGTTAAGAATCTGCCTGCCAATGCAGGGGACACGGGTTCGATCCCTGGTCCGAGAAGATCCCACATGCCGCGGAGCAACTACGCCCGTGCACCACAACTACTGAGCCTGTGCGCCACAACTACTGAAGCCCATGCGCCTAGAGCCCGTGCTCCACAACAAGAGAAACCACCGCAATGAGAAGCCCGCGCACTGCAACGAAGAGAAGCCCCCACTCGCCGCAACTGAAGAAAGCCATTGCACAGCAACGAAGATCCAACGTGGCCAAAAATAAATAAATGAATAAATAAATTTATTTGAAAAAAAGACTCTCCCAAGATGCATGCTTATCACTAATAACAGCTACAAAATTTGTCAGCAAGGATGACTAGGACAAGTGGGACCTGGTTCATTACCATGGGACTTCCTGTCCTGGACACTCATGATGTCTTAGTCCTCAGTGGTCAGAAATTTGAGATCAGAACTAGGTAACCAGAGTGAAGGATCGAGTTAGAGAAACTCACAGGCAGGGATGGAGGGGAGAGACCAAAGCATGTATGGGAGCGGGACTTATAATGAGAAACAACAGGGCAGAACAGTGGCATCCTATGATTGTTAGCTTTAGGTGTGCTTTCAGTTACATTCTTCTGCTCCAGAAAATGAAAATTGTTTAATGTTATTAGCTTCTCAGGCAGAGGCTGCAAATTGGCAGCTGCAGACTGAGTCTATTCCACAGACCTGTTTTAGATAGGCAGCATGCTTTTCAATAAAACATATTTCAGTTAGTTGCCAACATTTAAAGAATGGAAGGTTTCATATAAACATTTTGATTTGGGGCCAGTCTTGAAAAACTGGGAAAATCTGGCAGTCCTGGCCCAACATTCCTGCCCATCAACACTGAGCTGGAGCTGAGTACTGGCCATCTTCTTTGGAAGAGACATATTCTTCCCCAATTTGCCAGTCCCCACGCTCCTTGCTATTAAATTATCGGCCTGCCTTTGTCAGCATTTGTTTGTAACCCCGATCATTTAAAAACATGTTTTTTTATTATTCAAAATAATAGCAGAGAGAATCTTAGGATAAACTCCATGTACTCCTCACACGGTATCAACAATTATCCATCACCAACGTTGTTTCATCAACACCCTAACCAGTTCTCCAACACACTTGCATCTGCCCCTTGATTATTTAGATGCAAATCTAGACATCATCTCATCTGTAAATATTTCAGTGTGTGTCTCTTAAAGAACCAGAATGTGTGGTTCCTAATCAGGCCTCTTTCCATTATGCCAAATATGCCACAGGTAATACACCGTGATGATAAGGATATATTATGGAGTAACAGTAGTGAACATTTCTGAGGGCTTCTTCTGTGGCTAGACATTGTGCTACGTACTTGTGTATGTTATGTCATGAAAGAAGATTTAATGACTTGTTATAGATCTCCCAGATGTCTTTGATTTCCATTTTAGTTTTTTTTTTCATTGTAAAATATAAGTAACTTATGTTTTCTGGGGGTTTTTTTAATAAGAAGGTTTTTTTTAATATTTATTTATTTATTTGGTTGCATCGGGTCTTAGTTGCGGCAGGCAGGCTCCTTAGCTGCGGCTCGAGGGCTCCTTAGTTGTGGCATGCGAACTCTTAGTTGAGGCATGCACGTGGGATCTAGTTCCCGGACCAGGGATAGAACCCAGGCCCCCTGCATTGGGAGCGTGGAGTCTTAACCACTGCACCACCAGGGAAGTCCCTAAGTAAATTATGTCTTAAGTTCATTGTCCACCAAATTTAAGGATGCTTAGGCTCAATTTTTGGGCTAGCTAGAGAAAGTGCTCAAAATTTGGTGATATCCGAGAGTCAACTTAGATATATATGCCTTTTAGTAGAAATATTTCCAACATTTCACTACTGCAACTCTCAGGCAATTATGTCATCAATGGTCTGTCAATCTGGTACTACGGTTTGAGTGAAAGAAACAAATTTCTGGTAGCATTTCATAGATTGCTAGAATCTAGCAGATCGATTGGACAGAAAGCATAGCTGGACAGGCTACATTTCAGAGGATTACGCTTATGTTACTCAGATCTGATTCTAATTTTTAAAAAACATGTAGTGGGGCTTCCCTGGTGGCGCAGTGGTTGAGAGTCCGCCTGCCGATGCAGGGGACACGGGTTCATGCCCCGGTCCGGGAAGATCCCACATGCCACGGAGCGACTGGGCCCGTGAGCCATGGCCGCTGAGCCTGCGCGTCGGGAGCCTGTGCTCCGCAACGGGAGAGGCCACAACAGTGAGAGGCCCACATACCGCAAATAAATAAATAAATAAATAAAAAACATGTAGTGAATGTAGAGAAAAGGGAATCCTCGTTCACTGCTGGTGGGAATGTAAATCGGTGCAGCCGCTATGGAAAACAGTATGGATATTCCTCAAAAACTTAAAAATAGAACTACCATATGACCCAGCAATTTTACTCCTGGGTATTTATCCAAAGAAAGCAAAAACACTAATTAGAAGAGATATATGCACCCCTAAGTTCATTGAAGAGATATATGCACCCCTAAGTTCATTGCAGCATTATTCACAATAGTCAAGATATGGAAGCAACCTAAATGCCCATCAATAGATGAATAGATAAAGAAGATGTGGTATATATACACAATGGGACATCACTCAGCCATAAAAAAGAATGAAATCTTGCCATGTGCAACAACATGGATGAACTTAGAAGGTGTTATGCTAAGTGAAATAAGTCAGACAGTAAGACGAATACTGTATGATTTCATTTATATGTGGAATCTAAAAAGAAATGAACAAACAGAACAGAGTTATAGATACAGAGAACAGGTGGTTGCCAGATTTTATGTTACTTATAAATTATCCATATATATATTTAATTGTATACAGAGACTAAAAGAAGTGGTTCAGTTCTATTGGTTTTTTCCTTTAGGAAATCATGTTTCTAGTGGTGATAGGGAATTCCCAGAAGCTGGGGTTTACATATCCCAGTTTCCACTCACAAAGACCCAAAGTTCAAAACTTATTCTCCAAACATGGAAAAGGCAACAAAACACACAACTTAAGAATATCTAGGACAAAGGTGTGTAAGTCCTGAAGCAGGTTTTAGAATGGTTGCCTCCACAATTTTTTCAGGTTTACTGACCTATATTCTGGCTTCAGTCACACGCATGCATCTTGTAAGCTCCTTTCTGAAGGGAGAAAACCACAAATATTCAGTGTTTGGAGTTGAAGGTGAAATGAAATACACCATGTTCTGTT